ACGTGCTGGCTGCCTGCTTTGGTCAGAATATACAAATTGTCCAAGTTCCTACCGGTCATTTGTTTGAATTTGATCCTTTAACTGTTTGTCCTGTTGTGGCCCCAACAACAGTCAACTCTTGGCAGCACCTTAAAGACGCGGTATTTGAAATGCTGTTTCTTAGGGACATAACGACCAGGCTTCGGGGTGTGTCACCACCAAACAGGGTGCAGTGAGAGGTTAAAGACCAACAAGTCGTGCCACAAAGGAAAAGGGGGAATGTATGGGTTTTCGGTTTATTTACTTATTCCCGTCAACTGCTTGGTGCGGTAGCTTCAGTCAGGTGGAGTCGGTCACAAGCCCCAGGAAGGGAGTGACTTTGTGAAGTCGATGGTAAGCTGCAAGTGTGCAAAAAACATGACCGACTAAGGCACATCACACGGATTAAGATTCGTTTGAAAAAATAAACAGGTCAAAAAAGTTTGAGGGTGGGACGAAGCCCATTCGTTCACACACTATATTTGAGGAAGGGCAAAAGTTTTGTGATGTAGGGGCAAGTAGTGCTCTTTCTTTTCTACTTCATTGGCACTGAACGTGGTACACGGTTATGCAGGCCTAGGGGTTTGAATATGGGCACAGGATCCAAGAGATATTTTGGCCCAGGGGACTCCTTGATATTTCTGCTGGTTTTCTGTTTCTCAGTATATATAGAAAGCCAAAAAATAGGGCACGTAGGAAATAAAACCCAGCGGCTAACTCATCCTGTGTGTCTTTCCTTTAAGCTGCCTCATTCTAAAGATGCTCTCTGGGAGGCTGTTTGAGGGTAAGCGGGGCGGGAGGAAAACAAAGGTAGAGCCTCTTGCTTCGCATGGAGGAAAAAGAAGTGAACACTGGGAATGGGATTTCTGAGACCTGCTTACAACCTGGGCTTCAGCATCCTGGGACGAGATGGCACAGATCGCTTAATTCATCTGTGAAGATGGGGATGATGTGAGGCTCAGAGGAGTTAGTGGATTACGAGAGTGCTTTGTAAACGGAAACAGCTAAGCATCGTCAGTGTTGGTAATCCGTCTTCTGGGTAATGACATATCTGCCGGTGAACGTGGACTTGTCAGTAGGTTTCTGAAGGGGAATGCATAAGCAGACATAGTTGGAAACTTGGAGTCTGGCATTAAAAGTCAGGAAGAATGAATGACGCCTTTTTTTTATTTAACTGATTAAACTGACCATTGAAGCAAATGGCCAGTGATTTCGGGAACTAATGAGACCTGGGGCATCGTGTGCCAACTCCCGCTGCAGCTTTGTGACAGTCGCTAGCCTAGGCGGGCCTCGCTTCTTACACTTATCCTGCTTGGGTCTGATTTCATACAGAGCTCTAGGTGAGATGTTAGTCATAGCTGCGTGTGATGCTTAATTTATTAAATTTAGATCCTGTTTGAATATTCAGATTTACTTCGATCTGTGCTCAGAGGTAATTGATGTTATGAATGAGAGTCTGACAGTGTCTTCCTTGGGGAAGTGGTTGGTTTCCCCGCCCCCTTAAATGTGATCTATTTATAATCATTGGAGTTCAAGCTGCTGCTGATGCTTTAAACTAATGGAAAAGAAAAACACCGGCCCTGTGAAAGGTGAATATATTGCCCGTTTTCCTGTGTGTTCATTGTTTTTACGTTGGCAGTTTTGGTCCCTGATGTGGTTTGAATATTTTCTAAGCACTCGGGCTAAGGGATTGCCCAGAGCAAGTGGCGTGGCTCCTGCTTACATCCCAATGCAACGTGATACACGTAATGAGTGTTATATATAGTTCAGTGAATGCATACCGTGCATACAGCAAATACTTGTGCACATTCTATTTCCAAGCCATCGTTCTCAGGGCTGTCACAGATGTGACAGAGTGAGTCAAAGGTGGATCCTGCCCTCAAGGAGTTCCCAGACAAGGTCTAGGTATACAGATCATCATTATCATACCAAGTGGAGGAACAGGTGCACGCCTTGGTGTGAGACCTTAGAGGGAGAGCTCGCTTCCCGGTGGGAGGACAAGGAGCAGCAGAAGAGGAGAGAGCATTGAAATTGGGCAGAATTAATAGCACTTGCCACGTGTGTAGCTGTTCCCACGTGGCAGGCATTCAAATCTTGTAACAGCCTTAAGATGTAAGGATTATTATGCTCACTTTATCGACGAGAAAACTGAGGTTTCGAGGCTTGAAGTAACCTTCTCAACTAATAAGAGCAGGAGTCTGAATGAGAACCTGTGCTAGACGCCGAAGGCCATGCTTACTTGTACTGCATTGCACTGTATTCAGGATAGGGAGTTCATTGTAGTAGGGATGACACAGAGAATGGAGAGGGACAGCAAGTAATTCAAGTCATCTGGAATATGGGGTACAGGAAGGGAGGTTTGGGAGATGAGGTTGGACTGGAAGGTTGAGATCTCGACCATGCAGGACGTGTTAAGTACTTCAGACTTTTCTTTATAGGCAGGAGTATTAAAAACGTTTCCGGTGACACAGAGGCATAGTTTGAACTAACAGTCTTTTGGGAAGAGTCAGCTGAGTAAGGTGTTAGCAATTCCACAGAAATATTTGTGACTTTTCAGCAGCTAATTGGTAGCTTTACATTAAAACGATTTATTTATTTTATTTTACTTACATTTTTTGGGAACACTTTATTTATTTATCTATTTAT